CCCTCCTTTTATAAGTTTTTTGCCATAAGGCACGTGTGCTTGCTGGAGAGAAACAGCAAGAGACAGACAGTGAGAAAGTAAGAGAGAAAGTCAGAAATCATCCCAGGGGGAATGGCCACATTGCCATTTTGGGCATGCATGCACATGTGCCTGGTGTAATTTTTAAGCCATCAGGTGCAGAACTTGAAAAGTGGTCACAGCTGTGGGAGTCTAGGGCCTTAACCACCACACCATCTGCCGACCTCAGTAAATATGTGTTTGTGCCTAATTATAATGATTTTAAATTCACCATCCAAAACTGCTATTGCTTTTTTATTTTTTATTTTTGACAAGATTTTGCTAAAGGGTGCATGCGCTCGCCAGACAGACAGAGAGAGACAGAGAGGCAGAAAGCGAGAAATCACCCCCCAGGGGGGAATGGCCATGCCGATATCCCTTCTCCTCCATTTTCCTCTCAGGATCTTAGGCACTCATGCACATGTGCCCGGCATGAGTTTCAGCCACCGGGTCTGGGACTTGAACCGCGGTCGACTACGTGGGAGTCCAGTGACAAAGCCATTATGCTATCTGTTGGTCCCCCAAAACTGCTATTGCTTTTGCACCACCCTTAAAATGAGTGGAGGTGCTTGTTGAAATTCTCCAATGCTTAGAGTGATTTCACCCTCAATAGAAAAGCTTCTTTTCCTTTTTTTTTTAAAAACTTCTAAGCTGTCTTCTTCACTTATGTGACCTGATAATTCCACAGGATCACAATTCCTCAAATTTTTCATCTCCCACCACCACTCCCTTAGAAGACAAGCGGGAGGCATTGCTTTATTTAAATGCATTTAAATGCTTTATTAAATGCAACACTGGTTGAGCTATAGGCTTCTTTGGAACAGAGGCAACATTCTTCTCTTTGGTGCAAATACAAGTAAATGATTTATTTTAAAAAGTACTTTCAGGCCAGTTGATGGTGTGGAAGTTAAATCGGCTTGAAAATCAGGTGCATGCCCAAAATCCTGAGAGGAAACCAGAGGAGAAGGGATTGAGGTGTTGCTATTTCCACCAGTAAGTGATTTCTCATTTTCTCTCAGTCTCTGTCTTTGTTTCTCTTTGGTGAATGCATGTGCCCTATAGCAAATTAAAAAGTATTTGGTTTTACTTCTTACATTTATACAGTTATTATGGGATCATTTTTATTAAGAATTAGCTCAGATAACAAGGACTGATGTTTATTTATTTGATAGCAGTAGCATATAAAAAATGACTCATCTAAGTTGCTTCTTCTTTAGTTTACAGGGAAAATGCCATTTTGTTAAGTAGGTGACTTTTAAACAGTGGTTGCTTGGCAGAGCTCACTGAGAAGTGATCCTCCCACATGTGAGTTACGAGCAGTGAAAAGGTACACAACTTCCTTGGGTGTTGACGTTCCTGGCCCCATGTTTTCAACTCTTGAGGAATGAAATACTCAGAGAACCTGTGTAAGTCTCAAGATGTCTCATGACCCATGTGATGTTCATTTTACTAAGAAATAAAACAAAGTTAAATGGAAAGCACTCAGCAACTGTAGGAGACAGAGGTAATTTGAGGTCATTGCTACACTTGGTCAACTGGTGTGTGAGTCACTTGGGTGGAAGGTATCATTCAGAGGCCTCAGAGGAAGAGTTTATTCTAAAATGCCTCACAGCAGGAAAGAAAGTGATCTTTTCTGAGCAGCCAACCAAGGCCTCCAGACAGGGGTTGGCAAACCACAACACCCATGAGCCAAAGCTGGACCTCTGCCTTTTTGCATTATCTGTGGCTACAGAGCTACGTAGTTGCATAGAGACGTTAAGCCCATAATACTTCTCTCTTACAAGCTGGCTCTTTATGTTTGTTAGAGGGTATGTGTGTTTGTGTGTGTGTGTGTGTGTGTGTGTGAGAGAGAGAGAGAGAGAGAGAGACAGACAGACAGAGAACACTTCAACAGGGCATGACCATATTGCAATCCTTTTCTCTTCATTTCCCTTTCCATCAGAACTCTGGGTACACACATACTCATTCAAACACCTGGCATGTTTTTTAAGCCACCACAGTGTGGTCCGCCATGTGGGATCTGGGTCCGTATGCACAATGCTTAACCACTGTGCTATGGGACCAGTCCACCATCTGGCTCTTTAGAGATAAAGTCTACTGAAACTGGCTCTACAAAACAGGCCTGGAAGTTGGGTGTTCTTCTAAGTACTAGGGTAACTTGCTTAAGGATAGATTGGAAAAGTCATTTAACTTCAAAACCAATAATTATTATTGTAGTAAAAGGTACCTTCCATCTTTAACTTCTCTAAGTATACAAACGTATTCTTGAAGTTGCTTTGAACAATTAATTAGGTTACAATCTGATCAAACAGAAAAGAGTTCTTGTGAGGTCCAGTTGCCATGGCTGGGTAGGTCAATGATTCCTCACCTCTGATGGTCTTTGAGAGTCTGAATGAAAACCAAGGAGATGGTTTTCTTTCAAATCCCTGCTGTCTTCTACACCCTTCAGATTATATATAGCAGATGGATTTAAATTCATGAATTTTAGATTATGTTAGTGTTAAACTTAATCCTCAGTTTTCCACAACTCAATTGTTTGTGCCGAAAAGCACATCAGTGTTTTAGAAGAGGAAAAATATGCAGAAGATATGGTCAAATTTTAGAATTATGGGAGGCCAGTGAAATATAGGAAACACATCCCATGAGTCTGGACACTGTAGATACGTGTTTTCTTTCTCCTACATTTTCTTTCTCTGGGCATTAGCACCTTGGTTTTTGTCCAGAGAAGCATGGCCCTAGAACAAAAGCTCAGTCCATGGGATTGAGATGGAGCTTGTTCCCTTGTTAAGTTTGTGATAAGCACACGACTCTAGCCCGACTAGTGAGAAAACTGTCCCTCTTGGGACCAGCAGTTAGCGTAATGGCTATGTCGCTGGACTCCCACGTAGTCGACCGTGGTTTGAGTCCTGGACCTGGTGGCTTAAACTCACGCTGGGCGCATGTGCGTGTGTGCCCAAGATCCCGAGAGGAGAATGGAGGAGAAGGGACTGCGGCATGGCCATCCCCCCTGGGGGGTGATTTCTTGCTTTCTGTCTCTCTGTCTCTCTCTGTCTGTCTGGCAAGTGCACGCACCCAATAGCAAAAGGCTCTCAAAACAAAACAAAACAAAACAAAAAAAACCTGACCCTCTTGTCACAGTTATTGGTGTAGACAGGTATGTGACCAACCCAGCCAATAGGAATTAGCCATTGGACTTCTGGTAAAACTATTGGAAACAAACCCCTCTTTCAGACTTCAGGGTCTAAGGATTATGTAAGCCCGGAGCTACAACAGAGGGGGCTATTGGGTCATTTCTGTTGCTTCATGGAGAGAATGAAGCCAAGAATAACAGAATGAGGGAATTGTAAGAGACAGTGAGAGAAGAAAGGAGACAAGGAGAGAAAGAGAGAGAGGCTGAGAAATAAAGTTCTGATGACATAATTTGGGTTTAGAACCAAGTTTGCCAAAAGGAATCTCCTAGAATTTTCAGATACGTTAGCTAATAAATTCTCTTTGCTCTTCAACTAATGTGATTTGATTTCCTGTCATTTAAAACAGGAAGAATCCTAATAACCTGATACCCTGAGAACATTTCTACTGATAATTAAATCTTTACAAACAAATAATTCATTTCAATTGTGGACATGAGTAAATGTACAGGGCTCAAAGAAATGTCTTCAGTCAAAATCAGCTACAGAGAGACCAGCAGTTAGCGTAATGGCTATGTCGCTGGACTCCCACATAGTCGACCGCGGTTCAAGTCCTGGACCCGGTGGCTTAAACTCATGCTGGGCATATGTGTGTGCATGCCCAAGATCCCAAGAGGAGAATGGAGGAGAAGGGATTGTGGCATGGCCATCCCCCCTGGGGGGTGATTTCTCGCTTTCTATCTCTCTGTCTCTCTCTGTCTGTCTGGCGAGCGCACGCGCCCTAGCAAAAACCTCTACAAAAAAAAAAAAAAAAATCAGCTACAGAACAAGCAGGACAGGGCAGGACCAAAACCATATCAGTGCACCATTTCTTTTTTAAAAATTTTTGTTTTTATAATTTGCCAGAGGGTATGTGTACTCACCAGAGAGAAAGAGAGGGAAAGAGAAAGAGAGAACTTCCCATGGAAAATGGTCAGGCCAGAATTCCTTCTACATTTCTCCCTCCTTTTGAATTTTGGGCACATGAACACATGTGCCTGGTGTATTTTTTAAGGTGTAGGACTTGAACTATGAGGTCAGCCATGTGAGAGCCAGCTCCCTTAACCAACAGGTCACAGGTTGGCCCCACCATTTCTTAATTCTGGTCTTAAAGATACCTAAGATGGGATTCTACCACTAAGCTTGCACAGGCTGTTTCTGAGTTTCACTGAGGGAATATTTATTTTTTAGTTATAGTGCTGGGAAATATTTTGTTTTCTTTGTTGAGGTTTTTGTTTTTTTTTTGAGAGGTTTTTTTCACTATAGGGTGCATGCGCTCGCCAGACAGACAGAGAGACAGAAAGTGAGAAATCACCCCCCCAGGGGGTATTGTCACACCGCAATCCCTTCTCCTCCATTCTCCTCTCTGGATCTTGGGTACGCATGCACACGCGCCCGGCATGAGTTTTAATCCACCGGGTCCGGGATGCGAACCATGGTCGACTACGTGGGAGTCCAGCGACATAGCCATTACGCTAACTGCTGGTTCCCCTCTTTGTTGAGGTTTTAATGTATATCATTCATATACTTTTGCACCAACTTCAGACTCCAGTGAGTTATGTCTAATAGGTTTCTTTTTAGATTCAAAAGCTTTCTCTCTTTTTTTTTTTTTATTTCCAAGATGTATGCTTCTGCCTGCAGGGCTTTAAAGAAATCTAGAGAGTTGTTCTGTAATGTTTATGTTTTAAATAAACAATATTTTCCATCTGATGCTTTTACCTATAGAAGCGGCTCAAGCATCATAAATTTATACGGTTCCCAGGTTGAATTACTCACCAGTTATGTAATTCAGCAAAGGCAGCTTTGATCTTCTTCACAGAACTATCCACTTCTTCCTTGATCATGACACGATATCTGGTTAGGGAAACGGTGCAGCGTTGCAGATCCTTCACTGATTTCTCAATATTTGGGCCTAAAATGGATGTTAAAAAGAAAGTTAACTTGAGCACTTCATCCTTCATTTGTATGCTAAACAACAAAACAAAGTAACTAACCCATAGAAAGTATATTTTCTTTTGTTTTGTTTTTCAATGAAAAAAAAAATTCTGGCAAGCGGATATATAACCCAGAGTAGATGGTTTGTATCACCCCTGAGATGGCTGATTCCATGGGGTTTCTTGCTGGGCCATTAAGGCAAGTTTGTCTCCTCTGCTCTTCCAAATGAGGCTCTGATCATTATGTTCATTGCAAACTGCAGCATCTTAGAACCTGATATGTCTAAAGACTGTTTGTGCTGCTGGCTCTCTCTATAAACACTACTCTGTGTGGTTAAAAGCCAGCAGGGCTTTGGAAAGAGGAAAATGACACAGGTATTGGGAGAGGTACAAATGAACTAGAGAGAGGATGGACCATCAGTGCCAGATACGCTGGCTCTGGCCCCATCAGTCCTGAGCCAGGCTTGTAATTATAGCAGCAGCACTTAAAGCATGAGGGGTGCCCATCTCGCCTCATTTCCTGGAAATGTCACCAGGGTCTACAGATAGTGCACAGTAAACAGGCAGATTGTATGTATTCCAACAAAAGCATGCTTCTTCGAAGAAAGAAATCCCTTTCAAGAAAAGCGACAAGGTATATAAAATCAAAGCCAAGGAAATCAGACAACTTAAGACTGAATGAAAAGAATATTATTTAATTTTCTGGGAATCAGAATAATTTATTCCCTTTCATTTTTAATACCAGTTAAGTATCAAGCTCGAAGCTTAAAAAAAATCCAGTATGTCAAATATAAAATCCTCTTTCAGTGTGACATGGCCCCTAAGTTCTAGGAGAACAAATTTTACATAGGGAAGAAGACATACTAGACTCATCTTCATCCAAAGCAAGTTAAGAATGTTTATCAGGGGAACATTAGTCCCTTTCAGCTTCACTTCTGGAAGAGCTTCTGGTCTAACACTTGCTTTATAAGGTGTGAGGATAGACAGTATCGTGGTACAAGTTTATTCACGCCTACAAAGAGACAAACATCACAGAAAGGCAGAGAAAGGGGGTGTAATTTCCCTTAAATATTCAAGACCTTTGATTAACATGGGAGGAATCCTGTCTGCCTTTCAACCTATGTGGGTCACAGAAAGAAATGCAATTTCATGTGCATCTCTCTTGACTAAGCAGCATCTTTTGGAAAGTTCAGGCACATTTCTGTGTGTGCAGAGTATGTTCAATCATTTGTGCAAAAGAAATCACTTTACCTCTTTTCTTTGCCAGCTCATCTGGCTTTATTTCAAGATGAGCTGCAGGGACATTGGACTTAACAGGAGATGTTTTTGCCTTAGGCTTGCTTGGGTTACAAAGCTGCTCAGCTGACCACTGTAGGCCATCTGACCCCTCTGTAGTTCCATGTACAGTTTTGCAATTCCCATCTAAGGATAGTTTCTGTTGCAGTAGTCTGTTGCCTTCTGTAAGAAAACACCAATAATGACTGTGAAGTGATAAGCTAAAAACACTGTCATAGAGTGATGGGGGGGTGGGGGTACCCAGATTTTGGCTTTTGTTTACATGTTGGCAATAATGACTTTCATTGCAAAAAGTTAAGAAGTTGTTTTAACAGTCCCCAAAAGATGAGAGGACATGCTACAAAGACCCTTGAATTTAGAGTCAGAAGACCCAGAATGAGGCTTTGGTTCTGATAATTACTTGCAGATGACCCTGGGCAAACCATTTAACATCTCTGAGATTCGGTTTCTTCACCCATAACCATCCAGGAAGGTTATTAAGAGGATTATAGGAGATAAGCATTTTTTTTGCCCCCTCCCCCCATTCCAGGAAAGCCTTAGGCTTCTCTTAAGTACAATTTCATATTAAGGCTATAAAAATGTAGCCCTTCGATATCCAAGTGCTACATTAATGTCTTGTGGTATTTTATTCTGAATTAATGAAGGCAGAAGAATGATGGGAGATAGGACAGGAATGAAGTGACAACAGGTACTATAATCATTTCATCTAATTTATGAAGGGCTTAAATCAGGAAACATCATCATACTATCTCAACTGTATTTAAAATCTGGGGAGTCAGAATCTCACTGGTGCTTTCATAGATGTGGCAATAAATTAGCAGCACGTTGCTGCCGGCATCTTTTAAAGGTAAGTTCCTATTTAGTTATGGCTGGAGTGAATTAAATGGTACCTTAGTGGCCTGAAAAGGAAATGGATCACCCTTAGCATCTTACTACCAGAGAGAGCTGTGGTGTGCAAAAAGAAAGGCTGGTGTGCTTTTGAAGGCCAGGTTCTTGGAGAAAGGTTTAGTAGAAATAGTACAGCTGGATACGGGGTTAGGGTTAGGGACTAGAGTTAGGGTTCTGATCTGCCTGATGTCCTGGATGACTTTGTGGAATTGTTTTCACTTTTCTGGGCAGCTGTGGCTTGCAAACAGAGCAGTTATCTCTATGATAGTCTCTATCAGATAGTCACCACATCCAGCTACTCTCTGCACTCATGGTGCATCATAAATACTTAACACGTGACTTTTTCTTTTTTTTTTTCACATGTGCTCACCAGAGAAAGAAAGACAGTGAGAAGAAAAGAGAAATCCACCGCCATCCCTCCCCACCCTGCAGGGGTAGATATCTACACTGCAATCCCTTCTCCTCCATTGTCCTCTCAAGATTTGGGGTACATATGGACAGGTGCCTGACATGATTTTTAAGCCTCTAGGACTTAGACCCAAACTGAGGTAGGCCATGTGGGAGTCCAGCATCTTAGCCTCTGGGCCATCTGCTGGCCCCAGCACATGGTATTTTAACCAAAGGCTTTTATGTCTGCCACTCAGCCCTGCCTTGCAGAGACAATGACCTTCTCAAGTGCAGACACTGAGTCCAATTCATTATCTGAAGCCTCAATACTTGCGTCTGGCTCAACAGTTTTCTGTCGAATTGTGATAGAATTAAAGTGTTCTTAAAATGATTTAATAGGAAAAAATAAGAAATATAGTTTCCGGACATTATCACAAACATTACCAAGAACCCTACTAGGGGAAAGTGTAAAATAATACTATCTGGGTCTTAGGCAACTTGATGTTAGATTTTAGCTCACTTATGATAAATACAATGTGTCTCTAGTTTGAATCCATCATTTATAACTCACATATCAAGAAAGCACAATATACTTCTTACGAGCTGAATGACGAAAATTTACTTAAGGGAAATCAGACAATGAAATGCTAAGCACAGGTAGTGCACAAAGTACATAAGTACTGAAAACAGCATTTCCGGCAGTGATGAAACAGATTTAAAAGGTAGCACGTAATTTTATCTTTGGTTATACTGAGGGATCTTCACTGTAGGGCAGTGGTTGTTAAACTTCAGTGTGAAATGAATGTCCTTTGTACTTGTTACACATACAAATTCCCAAACAATGTCTCAAAGGTTCTGATTCAGCAGTGGGCCCCGGATTCTGCTTTCTAGGTGATTCTGCCACAGTGGAGATGCGTAGTACTACCCACCTTGAGAAATTCCACTGTAAAAAATGAAAACTAATTTTATGACAAGTCTACAAATGTTTGTGTCAAAACAAGCATTAAATCTAAGCTGGTTCTAACTCATTCACTCTCTAAATCAGTTGGGATTCAGGTTTTTTTGTTTGTTTGTTTAAAGAATTATTTTAATTAACATTTATTTATTTATTTATTTAAAATTTTGACCAGAGAAGGGGAGAGAGAGAGAATGAGCAAGCAAGCTGCCAGGTCTGGGATTTGAACTATGGTCGGCCATGTGGGAGTCTATCATCCTTAACCACCACCTCCTGCTGGCCTCTGAAATTCAGTTTTGATAAAATATTATAAACTGAAAACTAAAACAGTTCTTGGTGCATAGTGTAGTAAACTAGTCATATTCTTGAACACAAAGAGATTTTTATAGTATAGCTTAATTGAAATACTGACCCTAGAACAGAAGAAAAAAAATATTCTGTTGAAAGGCAAATGATTTTAAACGAGGGACAAGCATGCAAGTGAACGTGGGCTCGTTAACCTAGAGCTGGAAATAGTTTCTTTTTGTCTGACAGACCTGATATGGGGCTTTTGTCTCATATCATCACTTATCCAACAAATATTTATTGAGAAATTTGAGTAGCACTTTTTTGTTCGTTTTGTGTTTTAGGGTCCTGAAAGGCTGTCTCATTATTGGTAGAATCCAAATTGAACATGGAAAGGTTTAAAGTTCTCAAAGACCTGTGGCCAGATGGTGATGAAGTGATAAAACATGATGCTCTCTGAGGTAGTCCCACATAGGAAGGTTCCTGGTTCAAGTCCAGACATCTTCCTCAGAACACCAAACACTGTTTGCCCATGATCCAGGGCAGCCTGAAGTCTGGGAGTGGATCATGAGTTGAGACCCTGTTGGGAACACGGTTTTTCTCTCTCTCTGTTTGATTCATGGAATAACTGAATAAACAAACTAACAAAAATTCTCAAAGACCACTTGGATATACAAAGGAACTTCAAAATGATCATAGAAAAATGGAATGAAAGTTGGAATTTATTTTGGTACCCCCCCAAATTGAAATTCACACATAATTTTCATAATGTACACTTTCCATGAAATTTGTGAAGGCCCCTTGTATTTGCACACTGGCTATACAGATCTGTCTCCAAATGTAGTATAACTCTGGGACTCCTGATGAAGACTGATGGAGAGTTATACAGCTATAACAGAATTAGGTTCATCTTTTTTTTTGGGGGGGGGGAGGTTTTTGCTATAGGGTACATGTGCTCGCCAGAAAGACAGAGAGAGAGAGACAGAAAGCGAGAAATCACCCCCTCCCCCCAGGAGGGATGGCCATGCTGGAATCCCTTCTCCTCCATTCTCCCCTCGGGATCTTGGGCACGCATGCACACACACCCAGCGTGAGTTTAAGCCACCAGGTCCAGGACTTGAACTGCAGTTGACTACATGGGAGTCCAGCGACATAGCCATTACACTAACTGCTGGTCCTCAGAATTAGGTTCGTCTTTTAAAAAAATTATTTATTTTAATTAAATTTATTATTATTTTTAATTTGACCAGAAAGACACGGAGAGAAGGAGAGAGAAAGTGAGAAGGCAAGGTGCCAGGTCCAGGACTCAAACCTCAAACTGCAGTCGATCTTATGGGAGCCCAGCACCACAACCACTATACTATCTGCTGGTCCCTTATTCATCCTAAATCCTCATAGTTCTAGCAGTAGAATAATAGGAGTTATGTCTTGGCTACAACAACTTTCCTCTAACATTATGGATCAGAAATGCCATCAGTTCTGTGTCTATCTGGAGTCCACTTGTAAAGTCCACTAGACGGTAGCTGAATCGAAGTTGATTCCCATAAGCCTACACTGTCTAGGTAGCCACTAGCCACATGTAGCTATTGAATACTTGAAGAGTGGCTTATCTGAATGGACACATGCTGTAAATGTAAAATACATACTGAAATCTGAAGACTTAGTACAAAAAATATTATTTATTTAATAAAAATACTGTTTTCATGTTGAAATGAAATGATAATATTCTGGATATATTAAGTTAGAAAAATATATTATCCAATTCAACTAACCTGTTCATGTATCCTTTTTAAATTTGGCTACAGAAAAAAGAAAATTATACATGTAGCTTGCAGTATATTTCTGTTGGATAACACTAATATACAACACAGGAGCATGACATGGGTGTTTAACAACACGCAATCATTACAAATTTATATTTTAGAATAAGGCAGTATTTATTTAGCAAAGGTTTAAGTACCCTCTTCAATTTCCATGTGCAAAAATGGTGACATGATGATGTATGTCTTGTTCACCGTGATACACTCGGTATCTAGGACGTACATGATAAATACTGAATGAAAAAACGAACAGGCACTACTTCTGGGGCCCTTCCAATTGCACAAAGCTTAGTTTGATAGACAGTCTCTGACTGTGACTTTAATATTCACCAAATACTTGAATTTTAGAAAGAAAAGTTATTTCTGGAGATACCCAGTTTGCCTAAGTTTCAATAAAAGTTGTCTAGGGACAAACAGATGGCATTAATGGTTTTGTCACTGGACTCCCATATAGTTGACCACAGTTTGAGTCCCGGACCTGGTGGCTTAAAACTCATGCTGGATGAGCGTGCATGCGTGCCCAAAATCCTGACAGGAGAACGGAGGAGAAGGGATTGCAGTGTGGCCATCCTCCCTGGGCAGGGATTTCTTGCTTTCTGTCTCTCTCTCTCTGGTGAGCGCACATACCCTAAAGCAAAAACCTCTCTAAAATAAATAAATAAATAAATAAAAGTTGCCTACATGTTCATTTAATCCTTGTTCATGTATCTAATTCCCAGAAGCTTGTGTGTCTTTAAATTTAACTATTACTTGAGCCTTCCTTCTATTTAAAATATGTATCAAGGGCCAGGGCCAGGTGGTAGCGCAGTGGTGAAATGACACTTTGA